CCTTCTCCAACAATTCAATCTCCTTCTTGAGGAAGGGAGCTCAAATTGTACCCAGTACTCTAAATGAGGACTTACAAGTGAACTATACAATGAAATAATAATATCCCTTGTCTTGTATTCAATATTTCTATAGATGCTACCCAAAATCCCATTAGCCCTATTGCTAGCTACAATACACTGTTTGGATGACATAAGTGATTTTTCAGTCACAAAACCAAGATATTTTTTTCAACCACAGTATTTAATGTATTCCCATTTAAATTGTAACAATAATTTGAATTGTGAAAACCTACATGTATCACCTTACACTTTGGGTAGTTAAACATAATTTGCCACGTATTAGCCCAATGCATCAAATGATCTAAGTCTCCTTGCAAGTCTGCAGCATCTTTGATTCAGTTAGCCATCCCAAATATTTTAATGTTATCTGCAAACTTCAAAATTTGGTTAGTCGTTCCAGAGTCAATATCATTAATATAAATCACAAACAAGCAGAGGACCCAGCACAGAGCCCTGAGGCACACCACTTGTAATTGTGATCCATTAACTCCATTTATTACGACAATCTGCTTTCTACTCTCCAGCCAATCTTCTATTAAAATTTAATAACATTTCCTCCACACCCACAGATTTAATTTTTGGGACAAGTCTTTTGTGAGGCACCTTATCAAATGCTTTCTGAAAATCAAAATAAACCAAATCCACAGTATTTCCTTCATCAACTCTTGCAGTAACATCCTCAAAGAATATCAGAATATTTTTCATACAAACTTTTTTTCCTTAGTGAAATCATACTGGCTTTTTAATAATTACTAGCACGAACAGCGCCAGTAGGGCGGAGTTTTTGCTAGTATAATAAAATTTTGCTATTAAGAAATAAAAAAAATGTTTTATTTCAGTTACATTTTATGAAATAGTAAGACAAACAATCTTTGTACTTAAATGCAAGCCAAAGGTTCTGTTCAGCAAACCTTATAAAATAATAAGGAGGAATTACAACTAAAATTTGTATCTTAACAGGTCCCTTTATTAAAAAATACTATTAAAAATGGCCGTCTTAATACGTACAATTTCCAGCATACATTAGTTTGCTTTAAAATTGAAAAAAAAAAAAAAGAAGAGTAGGATAGGCAGAAGTTCATGCATAAACATATAAAATATTCCATATCTGTCTTTTAAAATAACTCATCTTGGAAATAATTGGTCAGTAATTTGCTCTTGTGAAAAATGTTTGATACAAGTATTGCTACAGTTTTTCATGAAATTATCAGTTCGTACCTAATTAGTCTAATGAATGCATTATATACACCTGTATTAATGTAATATCTGTCAATATTTCTTGAAATAACCAGTTTGTAACTGATCTGTAATATTTTTCGTTAGAACCAGAATGAAGTGGCAAAGTCCAATATTTACTGATTGTTCTAGCAAGAGATATTGTGAATGTTTAATGTTCCAAGATGGCCTGTAATGAACCTAAGAGTAAATATACCCCTCTAGCATGCAAAGCAAAGTGAGATTGATCAGATCTTCTACATTATACAGAATCAAAATGGTTTGATATTTTATGTTGTACAGTTTCTTGTACATGAGCTAGAGTGAGAATGATTTGGTCTTTTATTTGGGGGACGAATGTGTAAGAAAAAGGTCGTAAGAGTGGAAAATTTGAAATGTATACACTGTATTCAAAAGTAGACTCCCTCTGATGGGTAACCGGTAATTTTTTCGATTTCTGCGGTGGACAGAGCGCAGATTGTCAATTGTGGAGCTTTGTACAAAACAAACAAACATTCCAAAGCAATACTTTGAGGAAGTTCGGTGTAATAAGTTTAATTCTAAGCATTGTGACTATATGAACTTCATTACACGTAGCTTTAGGCTTTAAACTTGTTGTAAAATAAAATTATAACAAAATCGATATACAAATGAAGAAAATTAATTTTGAATATTTAGGTTTGTTTGTTAGAGAGGATCTCAATAAATTGTTCAAAATGATAAAGGGGATAGGACTGATACATCATCATTTTTTTCGTATGTAATGGTAAGAGACTAAGAGTAGTAAGATTAGTGGTAGTTGTGTAATAAGGAGTTGCAAAGTGGGGTGCTTGACTAGACCTACAGGTTTTGCAAGTATTGGTTGATTTGTTTTGAATTTCGAGCAAAGCTACACGAGGGCTATCTGTGTTAGCCATCCCTAATTTAATAGTGAAAGACTAGGGGCTAGTCCCACTAGCCCACCGCCAACTCTTGGGCTACTCTTTTACCAACGAATAGTGGGATTGACCGTCACATTATAACGCCCCCACGGCTGAAAGGGCGAGCATGTTTGGTGTGATGGGGATTCGAACCTGCGGCCCGCAGATTGTGAGTCGAGCGTCCTAACCACCTGGCCATGCCGGGCCAGAATATTTAAAACTCTATCATTGGTTGTAACTGTGTCTACAGCACTTTTTAAATTTTGAATAAGATAATGTTTAAAAGTAAAACAAAAAACCGAAGCTATATAAATGTTATCCATTCTCCACAAGACAATTAAAAGTTTAGAAGCTACATTAGTGCGTAATAAATTCAATAAATAGTTACCTGTAAATTCACAAAATAATGATTTTTTTCTCCTAAGTAAAACCATTGTTGGATTTTTATTGCAAAATAAAACTAATTTTGCTTCGTAATGACGAACTAAAAAGCAAAATTTTCTGACTAAATATAAAGATTACACTGAAACAAGTTTTTGAAGCAGTTTTTCGAAAGCTTGTCATTATTGGTACTTAAAAATATTTATACTTGTTATTTAATTTAGAATAGAGGTTCCAATAGTTTGGAGGGGGGGGGGGAGGCGTGGAAAATACACGCTACTGTTAATGTATGAAGTGATTCAATGAGTGGAGGACCTCAGTCAAAATGCGAAACATTCTGGAGGGCCTTA